CTCCAACTGCTCTCTAGGCGTCTTTTCCGGCGCTTCATCTCTCTCAGCTCCTCGGTAAACCAGGGAGCCAGTTGAGATCTGCGCCGGGTCAGAGGCCGCAAAGGCACGACTCGGTCCAATGCTGTGGCAGCGGCCACATCCCAGGCCGCCGCCAAATTTTCAGCCGAGTCGTGAACTAGATCCTCAGGATATGGCCCAAACTCCGTCAGGAACCTCTCTGGGTCCATCAGGCGCCTGGGGCGGAACCATCTATGCGGTTCCGACTCCCTGCGGCGGGGGGGAGCGGTCCGGAAGTCCATCCTAAGGAGTGAATGATCTGACCATGACAGGGGCTCTATAACTACCTCCCCCATTTCCAGATCATTCTGCCACTGGCCAGAGACAAAAGATAGTTTGTAAAGAAAGTCAATTTTTATCTATGACACTATGCATATTCATATGTATAACTATGGGAAAGAGGGAGGAAAGTTTATTTAAAGATTTCTAATAAAATTTCATCATTTTACTGAATAATGCACTAAAATATCTCTATGTGGAAACAACCACAAATGTTAGAAATATTAGGTAAGAGTCAGTATAGAAAATTATGTCATTATAAGCTTTCTTGGGGGGGGAAACCCTCTTCTAAAATTATCAGAAAACTAATTGTCAAATCAATATTATTAAAATTTCTATATTTAGATGAAAATGCACCAGGATGTTGAAAGTGATTTTCCCAGGAGTATTAAATCAGCACTGGGAATACTAGACAAGTATTTTTGGAGTGCTTAATTGCTGATTGTTAAGCATATCTCTAAATTATTGCTGTTAAATAAATTAAAGGTAATTTATACAGTTTTGAAAGCTACTAGACATTATCGTTGCAAAGAGAGAGAGGGAGGGAGAGAGACAGAGATCGTTCTGAGTAATTAGATCCAGCTAAGCTGCTGTGCAACTGTAGAAAAGAAACCAGTTTAATGTCTTTTTAAGAATGGCATTATATTGCTAAAGGTACCTTTAGCCTAACAACATTTTTCTATGCTCATCAGGATGATGTTCCACTACGGAGGGGAAGAAAGACTACCAAGAAACGAGAAGAGGAAGTGGATATAGACCTGGATGATCCTGAGATTAACCATTTCCCTTTCCCCTTTCATGAACTGATGGTATGGGCTGTGCTGATGAAGCGCCAGAAGATGGCTCTTTTCTTCTGGCAACATGGAGAGGAAGCCATGGCTAAGGCTCTGGTAGCCTGTAAACTTTGCAAAGCAATGGCCCACGAAGCATCTGAAAACGATATGGTGGATGACATATCTCAGGAACTTAATCACAACTCCAGGTTGAGCTATTCATGAGTGTTACATCGATGTCCTTCATTTTGCATGACACAGAATCTAGATAGAATAGCACCCCTTCTTTTTATTACTGAGCTGATTAAACTAGAAGTCTCCTAATGCTTTCCAAATCCTAGGAGAAAAACCAGGCAGTGTAAACAGTGTTGGCATGAAGGCTCCCTCTTGGAATGTTTGCAAACACTCTCACAGATGAGCGAAAGGCTTGCAAGAAAAAATAAACATTTCACTTGAAGCCAAGGGCTCAGTGGGCTGGCCTTGTAGAACAGAACAACACTTCTAAGCCAAACCATCTCAAACAGCCATTGAGAATACTGGCTTATAAAACTTCACTGTTAGATTTGATGGTTAACCATGCAAAAGGGAAAACAGTTATAATAAAGATCGTTGTTAGGAACATGGGAAATCAATCCAGTTGTCCATAAAAAAACCAGGGTTTTATCCATCAAAAATAGTACTTTACATAATGCAGATGCTGGCATTCTAATCTAAAGCCCAAGTAGCCCTATCAGGAAGTTTCTGTTACGTGTCAGTCCTTTAAAGAGCTATCCTATAGAAAGCATACTGCAATAGTTTAACTTTTATATTATGAAGATGTAAGTGACATTTATGGCCTGATAAACCATGGCATGCTAAATTCCTTTATGAGTATTCTTAATACAGAAATGCACATATCTGAGTAATAAACTGTGCCGAGGCAAGCATATTTTATCATTATTGGAATCTTGTTTCATATGAAACTCAGACTGCTTAGCCAGATCCAGTCCCTCATTATGTCCACAATTACCAGAGCATCAGACAGGAATTGAATAGAAAAAGAAGATGCTAAGACTTAATTCATAGAATAACATAGAATAGCAGAGTTGGAAGGGACCTGGGCGGTCATCTAGTCCAACCCTCTGTTCAAGCAGGAGAGTCTATACCATTTCAGACAAATGGCTGCCCACTCTCTTCCTAAAGCCCTCCAGTGATGGGGCATCCACAACTTCTGAAGGCAAGCCATTCCACTGGTTGATTGTTCTCACCATTAGGAAATTTCTCCTTAGTTCTAGGTTGCTTCTTTCCTTGATTAATTTCCATCCATTGGTTCATGTCTTACCTTCTGGTGCTTTGGGAAATAGTTTGCACCCCTCATTTTTATGGCAGCTCCTCAAATACTGGAACACTGTTATCATATGTCCCTTAATCCTTTTCACTAGACTAGACATACCCAATTCCTGCAACTATTCTTTATATGTTCTCGAGTTTCCTCTAGTCATAAAGTCTATGGTCAATCCAGACTTCCTATAGTCATAAACCTTGATTAAATTGCGCTATACTTTTATTATTGAAAATGTGATTCTCTCACCGAGTTCTAATACAAATGAGATCAGAACAATCGGATTAGCAACAAGGAGAGGATAGCAGGCAAGTGGAAAGTAAGGCTTCCTAACAAAATTGAAATTAAGAGATTTAATGAAGGGACTAATCTGAAGTACAGTATCTGCAAGTGCTCTCAGGATCTTAGCCAAACATACCAGGCTGGGATGCAATTCCTGCAGAAGTAGCCCTTAACAATTGTTTAGATGCCACCAACAGTAACCGATTCACAAGCTAACAAAAATGCCTTTTTTTTTTTTTGCAGAGATTTTGGCCAGCTGGCGGTGGAGCTGCTGGACCAATCCTACAAGCAGGATGAGCAGCTGGCTATGAAACTCCTGACATATGAGTTGAAAAACTGGAGCAATGCCACATGCCTGCAACTTGCAGTGGCAGCCAAGCATCGAGATTTCATTGCACACACATGTAGCCAAATGTTACTCACAGATATGTGGATGGGGAGGCTTCGGATGCGCAAAAACTCAAGTCTAAAGGTTAGGATTGTTTTAAGTGTGAAACTTATGGGAAAGTGTATACGTTAAATCAGCATATAAATATAAGATAAAGTATTAACATCTTTGCACTTCAAAAGGGTGGGTGGCCAATTCATTTTAAAGCTTTAAGGACCAGGACTTTATAGAGTACTAAGTGGTCTATTAATGATTTCATTCTTGCCATTGCCTATAAAATAGTTACATTATTTTGAAACTTATATGCCCAAATGTCTCATTCCTAGATGCATGAAGTGCATGTGTAATAATAAACAGAAAGAGCAACTGGCAATAACCATAACCTGTTAATTGTGATGATTGTTGTTATCATTATTATTGATTTAGGTAATTCTAGGAATTCTACTTCCTCCTTCAATTCTCAGCTTGGAGTTCAAAAACAAAGATGATATGCCTTACATGTCTCAGGCTCAAGAGATCCAACTGCAAGAAAAAGAGCCGGAAGAACCAGAAAAAACAGTAAAAGAAAAAGAAGAGGATGATATGGAACTCACAGTAAGGAAAAAACATTGCTGGAAGTGATTTTCATAGTTATTATTCCTTTGATTGTTGTCATCTGTGTCAAGGCACACAGTGTAATTCAATATACATTCCTTTAGGCATCCATTTTTAAACAAACTATACCCAAGCATTAACAGTAACCAGGGATAATTCCTAATTTGAATGTAATATAGTACAGTATATTTATTAGGAGAAAACATGTTGAGATGAATAACCAAATTGCACTAGTAAAATATATTTTACACATTGAGTTTCTATCATACAGTTATTTATAATATGTCTGTGAGGAATACATCTTAAGTCACCTTGTATAAAATTATAGACAATTCCCAATTATCCAATTTTTACTAAAAAAAAAAAAAGTTAAGAAAATTAACAAATTAAGAAAAATGTTAGTTATCATTAGGTTCAAATTCAAATAATATTTTAATGAATAAAACTCATTCTATACAATGCCTATTAAACCTGCTAGAATACAATAATAGCATCAACGACAACCCTTCTGCAAATAATTTAAATGAAATAAAACAAAAACTGCGCAAAAATATTTTTACCGAAAGCTATAATGTTTAGCATACAATTTCTTATTATTTATGCTAATTATATTTTGTATCTATTTTCAATTTATGATTAAGAAAATATACTCCAGAAATGTGTCTAAATATGCCTTAATACTCAATATTTAAATCTTCCCACCCTCCAGACTCCTCCACCCCCTCCATAAAAAATGTAGGAATCTTGAAATAGTTTAACAATGTGCTGGTGCATGACGCCAGGAAGTTTTCTAAAATACTGTGTGGATAGATGCAAGATACTAAGGCAAAACACATCATTTTAGGACGACTTCGATTATAAAATTATTGATAAAATATATTTGAAATCTTGAAAACATGCATAGCAAAGACAATGACTTCACAAATAGGTGAAAGAATATTTTTATAGAAAAGCTTTAAGCAATTTTGGGTTTTGATTAAAAAATTGTAAAATAGGATGTTTGGAAATTATTTTACATTTGAAACGCCACAGAAAATACAGTAGTTTTCTTTTAAAAATTATTTCCCTAAAGATGAATGTAAAAAAAGATACAGGTTGGCCCTTTCTGGTACTATTAGGGTCAATCTTTTGCCTAATTTTCATATCATTTTATTTTTATGTTATTTTATTTGCTTTTCTTTAAAACATTATAAATGTACATTCGATAGCACATTTATTATGACAAACACTGACAGCTATGGCAATTTGAAGAGCTAATTCAAATCAATATATTGTACATAAAAGAAGAGAATCAAGGCCTCTAATATAATCCAAATATTCATAAATTCACTGCTGGCATAAGATTTTATAAGCATTTATTCGTATTTTTACATCTACTGACTTTCTTTCAGTGCCCTGTTCAGTTTAGAGAAGCCATTAAAAACTGGATTGCTTGTTAAAAATTTTCTTCAGGCCACCAGCATGAGCTGTCCCCAGGATCTTATATGCGGGCAGGCAGAAGGCTCTGCCTACAAGAACCACAATTCAGGGAACGAGACGACTGTAGGCACAAGATCAACCTACCGGACCCCTATGCAGGCAAGACCCCGGACCCCGGAAAAAGAGGAAAAGGTCATAAGCCAGCATAAGATTGACAGGTTGCTTTCCTATGATATGAACTTATTTCTGCTTCAATAGTAGTTAATTCTTGCTGGCTTCTGATCAATAGATGACATGCTTATTCAAATCCAAAAAAGCACAGATTGTTTAATGGGCCTACATTGTAGCAAATAGCAATTGGTCTCTGTCATACTGCAACCCCATAATTTCCTCCATGTTTTGTTTGAGCAAAATTCCGGCATGTCAATACCAAAACAGATGTACCATGGTTTTCCTCTCCTTCGTCTTATTGTGACTTTAATCCTTACCTGTATTTTCCCCATGTCTAGTATTAAATTAGTGAACCTATAGCATATTGTATATGGAAGGATCATGAGTGTGATCAGACATTCTGCAATCAAACAGCAGAGTGGTTGATTTAAAGGACTCTGATACTGTTATTTTCTTTTTCAGAGCCTTTAAACGGGTAATTGTTTAAATGAACAAAAAGTTCACATTGTTGGGTTGAATGCTGTTGATAGGAAAAAAAGAGAGATTGAAAGACTGCTGAGGTGAGCAGTCATGAATATTAAATAAGTATGCCTAGAAAGGATACAGGACACAATAGTTTGATAAATAGGAATAAGGCAGCAATGTGCAGTAAGATATGGAGAATATCAAACATTATATTATATCCAACTAACACTGATTAGAATCACTATACCAAACATTTGAAGAAAAGCAAGCTGTAACTAGAACAGATAGATCCATCCCTTGTTAAAGAAAAACCATAATGTTCCCCATATTGAAACTAAAGGGTAAGGGGGAATTCTAAAAAAAACCTAGTAGCCATAACATGTGATGACATCAAAATGTCTTAATGATATCCTTACAGAAACACTGTAGCGATGAACTTGTCATGCATGCATTATTTGTCTCCATGCTTCCCCATAGTTGCTCATGTAACACAACAGAATAGGAAATAAGCATGTACCTATCAGCTGGAAAACTGTCATGAACCTTCTCCATTTTCATAATAGTCACATTTTTTAGGACAAGGAAATAAAATGAGAATATAGAACCATGAGAACTGTGGGAATCTCACTTTCAAGGAAAGGGTAAGAGAAGAGAAAACCACATGATTTGTTCATGAGACATAGGAACTACTGTATACAATGTAAAGTATGTTAAAAAAAGACCTAAACTGCATATATATGTAAAACTTTATTGAATATACCAAGATCTAGCCTTTGGTAATCTCAGATAACCAATCCATGAATAAGGAGAGTTACCAAAATATACCAAATCTCCCTATGTCTATAATAAATGAAATATTTATTTAGGCAATATCATATGAACTTATTTAAGCTTAAACCAATAGCTTACTAGACTTCTTTTCCATTATTATTATCTGGTATAATAAACATTTAGTATTGTATAATTTACTAAGTTCATATTTAGCCAACACCAGATAATGTCTATCACTCAGCAGGGATTGACAAATTCATACATCAACCCTAGGATCTCTGGTTTACTGAGGAGCTCTTGGAGATGAAGTTTCAGAAGATATGCCTAGTATACTATTGGAAGGAGATGAAGAATTAACTCAATTAAGCATGTGTAAAAGCCAACATTGGGTTCGTGTTATCATGCACAATCAACAAAACATTATTATTTCCCTGCTCTTACTGTGTCTATTGAAAGCTGAGCAGTGATGCCTTTTTCAGTGACTCATTGCTTGGTCAGGCCTCAGGACCATCTTTGGAGTTACTATGAAGATTATTCTAAGCATTTAGCAAATAAAATCCCTCTGATATGGACTTTGACCAGGTTGGTCTGGTCGAGGTGACAGAGGCACACGCTTGTTAGTTGAAACCAGTTTGATCTGTATAACCCCTGAAAAACTGAACATGATCCTGCCAATCTTCCAGGATACCCATTTTCTTTTCTTAAATTGTCATGTTGCTTCAGGAGGAAAACTATCCATTTATCTTGTTCATTCAAAAAAAAAAAATAGTCCAAGCATCTTGAGAAGTGTTTCTTGAATAAAATTCTGGTCCTATAGATGGTCCTCCTTTCTCTGTTTGCCTCCAATCAATGTTTGGGGTGGAGGTTTGGCTTGCGTCTGAAGACATTAATTTGTAGGGGATCAGAATTTGACATGCCTTATTTAATATCTACCTGAGAAAGATCATCTAACCTAGCCGACAACTTTGTCACCCAAAAGATGGAGATGGGAACTAGACGTAAAGCTATACTGGACTTAATCCTTGCTAATAGAGAGGAAGTGATAGAGGGAATTGAAATTGCCAGAATCTTGGGTAAAAGTGACCACATCATACTGGAATTTAATATAATGCAAACACTAGCAATAGAAAACAACCCAACCAGTGTCTTAAACTTCAAAAGAGCTGACTTTAACAAACTCAGAGAGAACTAGGAAAGATCCCATGGATGAAAATCCTAAAGGGGAAAACAACCCAAGAAGCGTGGGAAACTGAAAAATGCGATCAGACCAGCACAATACCACTGAATAAGAAAAACAAGAAATTCAAGAAGAAACCAGCATGGCTGCACAAAGATCTCTCTGACAAACTGAAAGACAAAATGGACAAATACAAAAAATGGAAAGAGGGGGACATAACTAAGGCTGATTATCAGCAGACAGGCGGAATATGCAAAGTCAGGAAAGCAAAGGCTCAGAATGAACAAAGACTTGCAACAGAAATCAAGGATAATAATAAAAAAAAATTCTTCCAACACATTAACAACAAGAAAAAAGTCAAGAAAACTGTAGGTCCACTAAAGAGAGAAGATGGCAAGGAAATAACAGGCAATAGGGAGAAAGCAGAACTGCTTAGCTCATACTTTGCATCAGTCTTCACACAAAAAGAGACTATAGCCCAACATGCCAAAAAAAACCACTGAAAAAGACAAACTAGAAACAAAAATTAAAATAAGCAAGAAATTAGTAAGAGAACACCTATCTGACTTTGATAACTATAAATCACCGGGACCCGACAGATTACATCCCAGAGTTCTGAAGGAGCTGGTAGATATTATCTCAGAACCATTACACCACATCTTTCATAAATCCTAGACCACTGAGAAGTACCTGAGGATTGGAAAGGGGCTGATGTGGTTCCCATCTTCAAGAAAGGGGGGGAAAAGAAACCAGGAAAATACAGACCAATCAGTTTAACATCAATACCTGGGAAGATCCTAGAAAAGATAATAAAAAAACAGATCTGCAAACAAGTAGAAGCAAACAAATTTATAACTAGTAGCCAGCACGGGTTTGTTAAAAACAGATCATGCCAAACCAATCTTATTTCATTCTTCAATAAAGTGTCTAAACTAGTAGACCAGCGAAATGCTGTGGAAATCTATACTTAGATTTCAGTAAGACATTTGATAAAGTAAACCACAACCTACTCCTTGGTAAGCTAGAAAAAGGTGGAACAGACAACATTACCACCAGATGGATCTGTAACTGGCTGGCAAACCATACTCAATGAGTAGTCCTGAATGGCACCACATCCACATGGAGAGAAGTAAGCAGCGGGTACCACAAGGTTCCGTCTTAGACCCAGTATTCTTCAATATCTCCATAAATGACTTACTGTAGATGACACCAAACTGACAGGAGTAGCCAACTCCCCTGAAGACGAACTCAGGATGCAAAAAAATCTTGACAAACTTGAACAATGGACCCTATCCAACAAAATGAGTTTCAATATGGACAAAAGCAAAGTTTTACATTTAGGCAGGAAAAATCAAAGGTACAAGTACAGATTGGGCAAGACCTGGCTTAAAAACAGTAACTGTGAGAGGGACCTTGGATTCCTAGTGGACAATCACTTGACTATGAACCAGCAGTATGCAGCAGCAACCAAAAAAGCTAATACAATCCTGGGTTGTATAAACAGAGGCCTAGAATCAAGATCATGTGAAGTATTAGTACTGCTTTATAAAAACCCTAGTAAGACCACACCTGGAATACTGCAGCCATTTTTGGTCATATCACAAAAAAGATGTTGAGAGTTTGGAAAAAATTCAGAGAAGAGCAACTAAGATGATCAAAGGTCTGGAGACTAAAACATATGAAGAACGGCTGCAGGACTTGGGTTTGGCTAGTCTAAAGAAAAGAAGAAATAGGGGAGACATGATAGCAGTATTCCATTATTTGAGGGGCTGCTACAAAGAAGAGGGGGTCACGTTATTCACCAAAGCACCAGAGGGAAGGATGAGAAACAATGGTTGGAAACTGGTCAAAGACAGAAGCAACCTGGAATTAAGGAGAAACTTCCTGACAGTGAGGACAATTAACTGGTGAAACAGCTTGCCTCCAGAAATCGTGGGTGCTCCATCACTGGAGATTTTTAAGAAGAGACTAGACAGTCACTTGTCTGAGATGGTATAGGTTCTCCTGCTTGAGCAGGGGGCTGGACTAGAAGACCTCCAAGGTCCCTTCTAGCTCTATTCTATTCTATCTATTGGCTCAATATGCAGACATTACTAAATTGTATACCTCAATGCTCAGTTGACCAAGGATGTCGTCAAGGTCTTATTCCAGCAATTGGACACTGTTGAAGTTTGGATGGACTCAAGTTTAACTGTAGCAAGACTAAATGGCTTTGTGTGTTTTAACTTTCTGGTTCTGAGGATTTTCACCCTTTGATCCCTAATGGCACAAATTCCCCCATTCTGGTCTGTGTACAATCTTGATGTGTTCCTGCACAATGAGCAAATAACAGCTAGGGTCAGAAAAGCCCCTGTACAGGTTTGACTTACATGCCATTCACACATATTCTTGAATGGAGAGGCTCTTCTTAGAATCACTCATTCCTTGACCATCTCGCAGGTAAACTATTGCAGTGTGCTGCCCTTGAAGATAACTTGAAGCTCCAGCTGGCCCAGATTGTGGTGGCACAAGTAGTGCCAAATAGACTTTGCTATGCTTTCTGCATCGTGAGCTACACTATTTACCAGTAAGCTCCTGGGTGCAAAACAAGATGCTGATTATTATCTATGAAGCTCTATGTGACATAGGTATCTATCTGAAGGGCCATCTGTCTGTTATAAGGACTGTTTATCCTATGTGATCAGACAAACTCCATTTTTAGGTCCCCTCAATTAAGCAATATCATCTGGCTATTGTCACTCATTAACTGAAACAAAGACATTGGTAGATGGATAATAAAGGATTCCATTGCTGAATTCATTTACATAATCTTAATGTCATTATTATAATATACTTTCCCATGTTTCGATGTGTAGCTTTTGATTAGGCACATATTTTTAGTTTTAATTGATATTAGGATTTTAGTTCCATTTCTCAACAATTTTAATCACAAGAATAAATCTGTTCTATAATCTATGATGCTAGACTACAACACACACATAGTATTAGAAATCTGATTAATTGTTGAAAATCTATTACTACTTAAAATATTTTTCAAAAGTATTGGTCAGAAATTCTAACCTCCATACATAAGAAACAGTTCAGTCATTCTATGCATTGGCTATCCCTCAGCCAAGCAGTACCCTCAAAATATTCTCTAATTTTCATTGACCAATTTTTAATCCAGATAGTCCTGATTTACTTATTTCAGACAAGACATATTAAGGATGTATATACCCAGTTATGTTAAATATCACTATTCAAGAAAGAAAGACTCACAGTTACCTTTACTTATATAAATGTTATTCTAGGTAGAAATATTGAATATGAATCTTTAAAATGTATCTTTTCACAAGATCACAGGTACACACTTTGGTGTGTGGGTGGGATTACTCATATTGTTTATGTTTTTGTTTTTATAACTTCATTTTTATTTTTTTTACTTTGCTTTTTTATTGCAAAAAATAAAATAAAAAATCCAAACTTTATGATAAAAATCTACACATTTTTATAAATACAGTTAAAGTCATAAATTAAATATAATTATACATTATAATACTTTTATCACATTTTTTATCTTATCATATTATTTAATTATAATTGCATTTTGTTTGGACAATTTGACTAGGTATAAACCATTGATTGATTTCCACCAATTCTTTCATTTAATATATAACAGGGTCATTTCCTTGCAGACAATTTTTCATTAAAGATTTTCGTTATTTTTTGATGTAAAATAATCGAAAAAATTCTTGAAATTTTAAATATGTCTGGAAGGGATTACAAGAATATCCTTTTAAATCTCAAATAAGGTGACCTCACATGGTTTCCAGTCTTGGATTTATAATAAGAATATTTAGCTATTCATTGTTAAGATTTTAATTATTTAACCTAAGCAATATTAGCTTACTCATTACTATGCTATCTTATAAATGCATGCAAAATAAACCAAAGCAATAATACAATTTAAAATACAAATTCCACAATTAAATAATAAAATTAATTTACAACACCTTTAAAGATATATTCTGCCAACATTCTTGAAAACAAATTGGGTCCAATCTTAACTTTGCCCCTTTTCTATGATAACAAGTGAGTTTCTCTACAAAACTGTCATGACCTTTAAAAAGCCTTTATAGGAGGAAATTAGCTGGGGGGGGGAACGAATTGGCAAAACGTTTCCAATAAATAAATAGGTAAAGAGTAAGATTAGAAAACTGCAATCTTTCCTTTTAGCAAATATATCACCACTAAATGATAGGAAATTGAGTAAGACTACACTTCTACAAAAATGTTCTTCATTCAAGTCTATCTTCCACTCTTTTAACATGCCCTACATCTGTTTCAGGATGTTCTCCCGTGCATGGCTATTGTATCTGGAGTGCAAAACTACAGATAGGCAGTAGGTGGCAATAAAGAGATATTGAAAACTTAATTTTTTGCTGTCACCAAAAGGTTCTCCAAATTTTTGGAGACCACATATGGTTGTCTTACTCCACACTTTTGGGGGGACATATGAAAAGGAGAGATAGGATTGGTTCTATTGGCAGATGCTGTTTTTGTAGCTAACAACATGGATCCAAATGTGAAGTAGGAAATAAGTATCTTTCACAACCACTCAGATCCTGTTATGTTGCTGTTCCAACACTACAACTGTCAGTCCTGTGGTCCTTCCACTCATTGTTGTATGTTTTCATTTTTCCCGATTCAAACACACTAATCCTGAGAATGACAAATCAACAAGCAAATAGAAGCAATCTTTTTGCGTATTCCAAGAAATTTGTGAATTGCAGTTAGATTTTGTTTGTTGATACGATACTGGGTTTACCATTTGAAAATGCAGTCAGTATTTCAATACAGTATTGATTTTTACTCAGCTTTTTTATTATAATACTGAATATCAAATTACATTTATTTCTATTTGTCTTCCTCTCATCCACTTATTCAATGTTTTTTTATTTTATAGGCAATGTTGGGACGTAGCAATGGAGAGTCATCAGCAAGAAAGAAGGAGGAGGAAGAGGTTCAAAACAGACATAGATTGATCCCCTTTGGACGTAAAATCTATGAGTTCTACAATGCACCAATTGTTAAATTTTGGTTCTATACTGTAAGGAGCAATTATCATTTTACCTCTAGTAACCCTAATTTGTAAAGGCTTCATTCTTCAGTATGTTTACATTGTATAACTACTCTTCATAGATTTAGAGTGGTGGTCTTTATATGCCCTTTTACTAAGTTTATAAAAATCTACTGAATTGGGTTTTAATTGTTAAAGTTAAATTTTTGCACTGATTATGTTTCTTCATGAACTGATTTGCTTCTTATATTCATTTAAAGAGATTAGGCAATGATGCATTTGCTTCCCTTGCAGTCAAGGAATTGTACACTCTTTTAAAATGAATTCATAAAACCTAAGTATATGATTCCATACTATGCAGTGAAACTTTTGTATTCATAAAGAATTCTTTAACTAAAAATTAGCCTTTTTTTATTTCTAAAAATAAAGAATCAGCTGAACACTTAACTCCTGTAGGCAGATAAACTGGGTTTCTCTCTTTGCAGATGTCTTACATTGGGTACCTGATGCTGTTTAATTATATCGTTTTGGTGAAAATGGAACGTTGGCCTTCCATGCAGGAGTGGATAGTTATCTCATACATATTTACAATGGGAATAGAAAAGATGAGAGAGGTAATACTATTCTAAATATACAGCTGTTCCCTGAGGTTTTTCCTAAAGATCAATCTGTTACTGTAAATAAGATGACAAGATACTCTCATCAACAGAATATGGGTTTTTTTCTGGCTTTGGATGGTGTTGTGGTAGGTGCTGTGAAGGATTGAGATGCTTAAAAATAATGGAAGTTACACCCGGAAACAGAAAAAAAATGCCACATTGTTTCTGTTTGCAAAAACTTCCAATGGAATACAAGACTCCTAGAACTGACATTTAGAGTCCAATCCACTGACCACAGTAGTTGCTCTTTCCTTTTAAGCAAACTACTGTATAACCTTTAAGAATTTTCTGATATCTACGGGCACCTATAGTTATTGTGACAGAACTGTATATACAAATTGATTTTATTTAACTGAGTATTGATCGCTAATTTAATTTCTACTTTTGTAAAACCACCACAAGTCATAAGATTTGACAGTATGTCAATAAGTAAAATTTAACGGTGAACTTTAATGTGCCTATCTGTAATGCAGTAGTTCTTTCCCCTGCAAATAATTTGTATGTTTCCCAATAGGGAAAATTTGAAATGCATATTTACTCAGAAAAATGCCTCAGAGTAGCACGTATTATATCCAACACTTTCAGAAGACACCAGATTGGAAAAAGCCATAATAAAAGTAATGTTAGTGTATGCCTGATTTGAGGAACTTACCAACGTTTGTATCTTTCAGTCA